TTACATCTTGGAACTGTGGTCCTTGTATCAATCCAGAAGATATCATACCTTGTAACTGTGGTTTTCTGGTCAACTCAGAATGATTTACACTGGGCAAATGTGGCCCCGGAGTCACCTTGTAACTGTGGTTTTCTGGTCAACTCAGAATGATTTACACTGGGCAAATGTGGCCCCGGAGTCAACTCCATGGATTCTGCATCTGGCATTTGTGGCTCTGAGACTAATTTACTGGAAACTTCAACTTCAAGGCTTGGCACTTGATTGCCTACTACATATTTTACATCTTGGAACAGTGTCTCTGGTACTAACAACTCAGGCTTAACCCCTTGCCCCTCTTGCCCTGGAGCCATTGGCAGAGGTGGTGCCCCTTGCATCTTTGGCCCTGGGGTCAACTCTAAAAATTGTACACGTTGTAGCTGTGGCCCTGAGTTTAACTCTAAAGATTTCACACCCTGAGGTTAAGTTCCTGGTACTAAATCAAAAATTTTGACATTTCATAGCTGCAGCTCTGGGTTAAGCCCTTCCTGTTTCATACTTTGAGTTCCTTGAGACGTCTTTGCTAGTTTGGAATCTTGCAGCCCTAAATCTGAAACCACCTCTACAGAATTCACACTATGAAACACTGATCCTGGAGTTTGATCCCCAAATTTGACACCTTGCAGCTTTGGCCTTGAAGTCAATTCAGAAAATTTGAGATATTGCTGCCAAGGCCCTAGGTTTACTTCCTCAGATTTTACACTTTGAAATGGTAGTTCTGAGGTCAGTTTCGCAGATTTCATGCTGTGAAACTTGGATCCTTCAGTAGATAGAACAGATTTCATGTCTTCAACATGTGGCCCTTGGCTTAACTGCAAAGATGACTCTGGTATGAAACCTAGAGACTTTATATCTTCAGGCTGAGCTCCTGGTGTCATCTGCATATGTTTGAAACCTTGGTGCTTTGACCCTGGGATCAAATCAGAAAATGTGACATCTTGCAAGCCTAGTCCTGGGTTTAGTTCCACAAATTTCACACCTTGAGGTTGTGGTTCTGGAGTCAGCTGTACAAATTTGACACTTTGAGGTGTTAGGTCTGGGATTTGATGTACTGAACTGGGGAATCTGAGGACAATTCATCCGATTTTGCACCATAATGTAGGGGTCGTGAGATTAAATCTACAGGTTTTTCTCCTTGAAGAAGTGGCCCTGGAAATACCTTTGAAAATCTGACACTTTGCAACAGTGGCCCTGGGGTCAATGAAGAAGATTTGACACTTGGCTGACATGGGCCTACATTTAAATCCACAGATTTTACATCTTGGATTTCTGCTCTCTTAGTCAAATCCTCCAATGGCATACTTTATAGCAGTAGCTCTGGTATCTCCTCTGATTCTACCACTCATGTAGTTGACTGTTGGATTAAATTCACGTTTTACATCTTGCAACTGTGACTCTAGATCCAACTGCATAGACTTTCCTCCCTGGACCTGTGGCCCTGGGGTCAGGTCCATAACATGTGGTTTTGGTTCTGTAATCAACTTTTTAGATCCTATCACTAATGGAGATGACTCACTGGTTAACTCCACAGATTTCAAGTTTTGCAGTAGTGGCTCTGATTTCTCATATTGCATGCCTGGTCCTGGAGTCAACTCCAGAACTCCTGTTTCCGAATCTGGTGGTACTGAGATAACTCCCCGGGTCTTACCAACTTGAGGCAATGCCAACCCCACAGTTTGTGTCTTTATAATCTAACATGGAGGGTGTCTCTGACAACTCAGTAATTTCTGAGCATGGCCCTAGATTGCAATGAACAAACTTCATATCATGGGGTTGTGGCTCTGTGGTCAACACCTCTGATTTCACACTTTGTATCTCTGATCCTGGTATCAAATCCAGAGATTCTTTTGTTGTGTGTTGTGATACTGGAGTTTCCCCCATTGCTTTTCCAAGTTGGTGCACTGTCTTAAGAGTGTCTTGGAATGACATTGAGCTCATCTCCACAGATTCTGAAGTTTGGCTCAGTGGCCCTGGGGTAGTTCCTAAAGATGGTTGGGTCAACCCAATAGATTTTTCCACTTGGTGACAAGTGTCAGAGGTCAACTTTGCTTCTCTTCCTTGATATCCTGGCTCTGAGATCATCTCTAAAGATTCTGAGGCTTGATGCCATCAGGTCAATCTTTCAGGCTCTGTGGCTTAATCATTTGGTTTGGGGCTCATCTCTGCAGCTTTTACTGCCTGAAGTTGTGTCCCTTTGGCCAATTCCCCATATTTCATACCTTGCACATGTGTCTCAGGAATTAACCTCCTACATTCTACCATTTGAGGAGTTTTCACATCTTCAAACAATAGTACTGGGACTATCTTCTCAGATCTGACATTTTGTAACCATGGCTTTGGGGCCAACTCCACAGATTTTGTGTCTTCCATTGATGGTCTTAGTGTCAGCGTCACAGTGTTTATATCTTGTAACTCTGGTGGTAGGACCAGGTGAACAGATCTTCTACCTTGCAACTGTGAAGCTGGGGTCAAACCCCTAGATTCTGTAACATGTGGCTGTGCTGGTGGAATTATCCCCATGGAATCCATGGCTTGTAATAGTGCTACTGGAGTTACTTTCACATAGTCCATGACTTGATGTAATGGTGCTGAGATCGTTTCCAATGATTTTGTGTCTTGACATATTGGCCCTGGAATAGTCTTTCCTTGGTCCTTGACTTGACTTTGTAATCCTGAGGTCTTGCCAGCTGATTCCATGACTTTATGCTGTGGCCCTGGCATCGTTTCCACAGTTTCCATAACTGCACATTGTGGCCTTAGATTCATCTTTTCTGGTTTTGTGATTTGATGGCTCAATAATGTGTTCATCTTCACTGACTCTATGGCTTGATGTTGTGGTGTTGGAGTCGTTCCCACTGATTCTGTATGTGGATGTGATTTGTTAATCATCCCCATAGAATCCGTAACTTGAAGCAGTGCTACAGGAGTTACTTTCTCATTATCTGTGACTTGATTCAGTGATCTTGTGGCCATCCTCTCTGATTCCACAACTTGGTGCTTTGGCCTTGGGGCTGCCTCCATTGACTGAATGACTTGATTTGGTGGTTTGGGGGTTATGTTCATTGTTTTCATAGTTTTCATTGGTTTCACAACTTGACTTGGCAGCTGTGGGAACAAACCCACGGATTCTGAATGTGATTCTGGGATCATCTCCATTGTATCCATGACCCAAAGTAATGCCAATGGAGTTACCTTTATGCTGTCCTTGACTTGATGTGGTAGACCTGGTGTCAAGTCCACAGTAGTCATTTGTGTCTTGCGCTGCTGTATTCTTTTTTCTGGAAAACCTATGACCCTCTTCTCCATACTAAGCTCTAGTATGTGTTTTGGCTCTTTCTTCAGTAAAGCAATTTCCTCTGGAATCACATTAACTCCTAAACTTCTTGGAGGTAGAGTGCCCACTGATGTAACTAAAGGCTTCAATCCAAGGATTTGGGGGCCATCCCCAGGTTGTAACTGCTTGCCTGAGATAAGTGACTGTGAAGGTTTTGTTTCTGTGCTATTTGTTCCAGATCCCACTTCAGCATTCATATGAAGTGGAAATGATGGAAGGTCTGGGGAATTTTTGTTAATATTTTGCTCAGTGTTTTGATGAATGGGCATAGATAACTGAGTTTGGAGTTTATTTGATTCAGCAACTCCTCCTCGTACTTCAGTTAAATAATTGAGCATCGCCCATGATTTCCTCACAGGTAAAGGTACTGTTTGTTGCCGCAAGGTGAAAACCTTCTCAGACATGTGTCCTTCTAGCTCCTTTCTGACCGAAGGAGAGAGCTTGAATGGAGCCCACCTTGGAAGTCGTGGTCTCTCCTTGGAAACAGAATTTGGCTCATGATCTGACGTCAAATGACTCTTCCTCCTTCTCTCATCTTTTATTTTCCTTTTTTGTTTGCAGATATTTTGAGGCTCAGAAATAGAGTTGATAAAAGAGCTCTGAGATTGTAAGGGTGAAAGATCTGTCAAATTCTGAAAAAGTTTTGATTTCTGGGGCTCTGATAGCCGAAAAGGAGGCAGGGTTGTGCCTCGGTTCCCGAATACAGATGACTGCTTTTTGTGGGAAACAGGTAAACTGTGGCTCTGGTATTCCCAAGTTGTTCCTTCAGAAAAGACAGGAAGATGAGACAGACTGGAGTTACTGCATGATGACCTAAAGGAGATGCTGCGGTCCGTAGAATGTTCTGCTTTCTGATAGTCACAACAGCGTAGAACAGTCTTCTGAGCCACAAGAACAGAGGAGGTAGAGGAAGAAATTGTATCCTGTGGTTCAGGCAAATCCTGTTCCATAAGCCTTGATCTAAGAAATAAAGAGAAATGGGCCGGGCGTGGTGGCTCAAGCCTGTAATCCCAGCACTTTGGGAGGCCGAGGCGTGTGGATCATGAGGTCAAGAGATCAAAACCATCCAGGTCAACATGGTGAAACTCCATCTCTACCAAAAAAAAAAATACAAAAAATTAGCTGGGCATGGTGGCGTGTGCCTGTAATCCCAGCTACTCGGGAGGCTGAGGCAGGAGAATTGCCTGAACCCAGGAGGCGGAGGTTGCGGTGAGCCGAGATCGTGCCATTGCACTCCAGCCTGGGTAACAAGAGCGAAACTCCATCTCAAAAAAAAAAGAAAAAAAAAAGAAAGAAATAAAGAGAAATGTTTCAGTTTGCATTGAAATAGGAAAAGGAAAAAAGTGGCCATTTCAAATGCAAAATACTTTTGGCCTCAAGGAGAATTGGGGGAAAAAAAAAAGTTTCTTACCCCAACATCAGTTACTTATAGAAAGAATTCCTCTACCAGGATAAAGGGAGGAAACTCTTCCCATTCCACCCAGAAATGACCCTTCAACCACTTTGAACCCAGAACTTCCTCCACAGACAAAACGAACTCTCTCCCTCCTTCCTTCCTCCCCTTCCTTCCTTCTTTTTAAAACCTCTACCACCTCAGTCCTCATCCAGAACTACAATGCCTGACCTTGTGCTTTCCAGGTATCAGAAGATCTGTTGAAGACTCCGCTTCATTGACCAGAGTATATATTCCTGGATCCAGTCCCCCGGGAGTTCTGAAACACTGGATGCAACATTGTATGTCAATGTAATTGAAGTCTCATTAAAATACCAGTAAGGAAAACAGTAAGAGAGATTTAACTTAGAAAAGAGAAAGCTATCACAGTGAAGGAAGTAAAACAGAGTACCAGGTACTCTGAGTTCCAGACCAGCCTGACCAACATGGTAAACCCCATCTCTACTAAAAATACAAAAATTAGCCAGGCATGGTGGTGCATGCCTGTAATCCCAACTACTCAGGAGGCTGAGGCAGGAGAATCACTTGAACCCAGGAGGTGGAGGTTGCAGTGAGCCAAGATCATGCCACTGCACTCCAGCCTGGGCAACAGAGCAAGAGTCAGTTTCAAAAAAAAAAAAAAAAAATTAGCTGGGTGTTGTGGTGTATGCCTGTGGTCCCAGATACGTGGGTGGCTGAGGTAGGAGGATCTCTTGAGCCCAGGAAGTCAAGGCTGCAGTGAGCTGTGATCCTGCCACTGCACTCTCCAGCCTGGGTGACACAGCAAGACCCTGTCAGAAAAAAAGAAGAGAAAGAGAAAGAAAGAGAGAGAGAGAGAGAGAAAGAGGGCAGGCAGGAGGGAGAGAGAGAGAGAGAGAGAGAGAGAGGAGGAGGAAGAAGAAAACAGTTTGAATAAGTACACATTAATAATGTGAAAACTCTGATGAAATAGTTAAATTCCTAGAAAAAAATAAGATACCAAAATTGGGCAAAAAGGAATAGATCATTTGAGTAGACCAGTAAGTATGAAAGCAGTTGAAATGATAATCAGACATTCATCAGACATAATAAAATAATTCACCAAGGTTTCTGAATACCAGAACAACTTACAAATATCAATAACATTTCTCTACCACAATAAAAAATATAAATATTATTTAAAATAATAAAATATATTCTTCACAATAGCAATAGAAAATGATAAAAGTAGCAAGGTGTTAACTAAACCAAGAATACAGAAGACTTCCATGTAGAAAACTATAAAATGCTAATAAAAGACATAGAAGATGATCAGAATAAATGGAGAGATAGTCCAAGTTGTTGGTTGGAATAACTTGAAATTACAAAGATGTCATTACTCCCCAATTTATTATTTTTTTTAAGACAGTCTTGCTCTGTCAGCCAGGCTGGAGCACAGTGGTGTGATCTCTGCTCACTGTAACCTTTGCTTCCTGGGTTCAAGCAACTCTCCTGCCTCAGCTGCCTGAGTAGCTGGGACTAAACATGTGCACCACCAAGCCTGGCTAATTTTTGTATTTTGAGTAGAGACAGGGTTTCACCATGTTGGCCAAGCTGGTCTTGAACTCCTGACCTCATGATCCACCTGCCTTGGCCTACCAAAGTGCTAGGATTATAGGCGTGAGCCACCATGCCCAGCCAAATTAAATTATATATGTGTGTGTGTGTGTGTGTGTGTGTGTCTGTATACAGACACATATTTTTTTTTAGTTTGTTTATTTTTTTGAGACAAGGTCTTGCTCTATTGCCTAGGCTGGAGTGCAATGGCATGATTCACTACAGCCTCAACATCCTGGACTCAAGTAATTCTCTTGCCTCAGCCTCCCAAGTAGCTGGAACTACGGGTGCATGACCCTACCACACCTGGCTAATTTTCTTTTTTATTTATTTATTTATTTATTTATTTGGAGACGGAGTTTTGCTCTTGTTACCCAGGCTGGAGTGCAATGGTGCGATCTCGGCTCACCGCAACCTCCGCCCCCTGGGTTCAAGCAATTCTCCTGCCTCAGCCTCCTGAGTAGCTGGGATTACAGGCACACGCCACCATGCCCAGCTTATTTTTTGTATTTTTAGTAGAGACAGGGTTTCACCTTGTTGACCAGGATGGTCTCGATCTCTCGACCTCGTGATCCACCCGCCTCGGCCTCCCAAAGTGCTGGGATTACAGGCTTGAGCCACCGCGCCCGGCCCTGTTTTCATTTTTTGTAGAGATAAGCTCTTGTTATGTTGCTCAGACTTAAATAATATTTTAATGCATTCCCAATTCATATTTCATTTGGAATGTTTCAAGAACTTGTTAAATGCTCTAAAATTAATATGACAAAATAAAGTTCTACTGATAGCTAAATCAATCTTAAAAAGAACAGCAAAAGAGTGACTTGCTATACCAAACAGCAAACATACGAAACACTAAGACAAAGCTGTAGGAAATAAAAACACAAACAAATAGACCAATGGGACAGATAGAGAGCTCAGAGATAAACTTATGTATACATGGCAAATTTTTATAATAAAGGGAGTTCCATAAATCAATGGGGAAATGACTGTTTAGCAAACAGTGATGAGAGCCGGGCACAGTGACTCGCACCTATAATCTCAGCACTGTGGGAGGCCAAAGCGGGCATATTGTTTGAGCTAAGGAGTTCCAGACCAGCCTGGGCGATATGGTGAAACTCCATCTCTACATAAAAATACACAAAATTAGCCAGGTGTGGTGGCACATGCCTGTGGTCCCAGCTACTCAAGAGACTTAGGTGGGAGAGTCACTTGAACCTGAGAAGCAGAGGTTGCGGTGAGCTGGGACGGTATCCTTGCACTCCAACCTGAGTGAAAGAGTGAAACCCTGTCTAAAAAAAAAATAAATGGTTATGGGAAAACTGGCTCACTATAGAGAAAAATAAAACTGGATCACTTCCTAATACCACATATAGAGGTGGACTCCAAGTATATTAAAAACTAAAATGTGAAATGTAAGAATGGAACATAGAAAAAAAGGTAAGAGAAAATCTTTGTGACCTAAAGCAGAGAACTCCTTAAGGAAAACTTCAGAAAAATAAACCATAGGCATAATTGCTAAAAGAGAAGAATTTAAATGTTTCCGCCACAGGCAAAACAGATAAGTGAGATGGCTATATTAATTCACTTGATTTAGTCAATCCACAATGTAAACATGCAGCAAACCATCACATTATATCCTGCAAATGTATACATTAGTATGTCTCAAATTTAAAAAAAAAAAAAAATTTTTTTTTGAGATAGAGTTTCCCTCTGTCACCCAGGCTGGAGTGCAATGGCTCAATCTAAGTTCATAGCAACCTCTGCCTCCCGGGGTCAAGTGATTCACATGCCTCAGCCTCTGGGGGAAGCTGGGATTACAGGCATGCACCATCATGCCCTGCTAATTTTTGTATTTTTTGTAGAGATGGGGTTTTACCGTGTTGGCTAGGCTGGTCTCAAACTCCTGACCTCAAGTGATCCACCTGCCTTGATCTCCCAAAGTGCTGGGATTACAGGTGTGAGCCACCATACCCGGCCTCTCAAAATTTTTTTAATCCAGTAGAAGACCCTCCTACATTCAAATGGAACCTCAAAATGACAAATCTACCACTCACTCCTAATCTACCACTCACTCAAAATGACAAATCTACCACTCAAATCTACCACTCACTCAAAATGACAAATCTACCACTCGCTCAGGTAACTGCAAAGAAAGTTGCCTTCACACTAAGTTCAGAGGTCTGGGGTGAAGACTCTGGGAAGCCATAACTACAGGCTCGCTTCTGTATATTTGGCAGCTCAAGTTCAAATTAACTGAGTTGTCCCAAAAACTCTTCAAGCCATGAATTTAAAACGCTCCTGGACTGATGGTGCCAGAGTCAAAAGTAAATGAAATGCTCTCTGAGGAAAATCTTTATCTTAGGCTTCAAAATCCCCACAAATATTCTATTTTAGTAAATTTAAGATGCTAATGATTATAAATATACCATCAACTTATATGCTAGTAGAATGAAAAAAAATTTTAATTAAATTATTAAGTACCATCAGTTGTAAGACATACCCCAACTTCAGAAATGTTAACTATTAAAAAAAAAAAACACAAGCACAGAAACAAACCTGCAAAGATGTCAGGTACTGGAAATACCTGATGTAGATTAGAAAACCCCTATGCATATTATATTTAAAGAAATAAAATGCAAGTATAAATAAACTTTGTAAGAAACAGAAGCCCATAGCACATTTGAAAAAAGAATCAAATCTTACTTCCAGAAATTAATAAGAATGCAAAGTACTGAAATGGATGGACTTATTATCATTGATAAAATACTTCTGAATAAAGAATGGATATGTATATATATTTAAGTCTGACGAGTAACCACTAAAAGAATAGAAACAAGAGTTCATAACTTCCAAACTAGTAGAAGGGAAAAAATGGAAAGAAAAAAAGCACCAGTTTGGGATTTCAATTTATAGTAGTGGTTTGAACCCTTCAAATAAAACATCAAGAAAAGTTGGACAAATATCTGTTTTAAAATATCTATTTAAAGTCATTAGAGACATATCAAGGGATCAAAAACCAGAGGAGCCAAGATCCCAGAGAAAAAGGAAGTGGAGGTAAATAAGCCCAGCTAAATTGAAATTTCACCGTTTTATGGGATAGATAAACAAAAAAGTGAATTGAGGGCCTTAATATTGCAGGCTTTCAGTTGGGACCCCTAAGGGCTTACTTAGGAGTAAGAATAAACCTGAAATAAACCAGGCTCAAAAATGGGAGGCTCAGCCTCTGATAAATTCAATCCTTTATTGGATTGAGATGATTCCTAATCTAAATGACTGCCAGAAGCTAAAATAGCTCTACTCTCTGGAGGATAGTAACTTTATCCAGAACATTGAATTTTTCTCTTCAAATTTATATATAAACTTTCTGGTATTAAATCAAAAATTGCCCTACTTACTGGAAGACAAGACTGAATGATTGAAGACTAAGATAAACCTAGGGAATAAAAACAAATTCATAGGCAATCCAGATAGTAGAGTAATGAAACATGGTTTTAAAAATATATGTGCTTTAAATATACAAGAAATTAGATGACAAGATGGATAATTTTGGCCAAGAACTAAAAACTAAAAATAAAATATCTAATGGAAATTGCATCACAGAAGAAATAAAGAACTCAGAAAGGGGTACAGATTAGACAAAACTGAAGAAATGTCTGAAGAAATTATCCATAATGAAGCATGGAAAGAAAATAGATATAAGAGCCAATAGACAT